ATAATGGAGTAGAAACAAAGACACGGAACAGGTTTCTTACTTCTAACGGTCAAAGCGACCTCTTTAATGAATCAAATCTCCCCAAGTAGGATTCGAACCTACGACCAGTTTGTTAACAGTCGATCGCTCTACCACTGAGCACTGAGGAACAACGGGAGATTAGATCTCATAGAGTTCAACTTCCGTTCTCAACCCATGACCAATATGGGATTGCAGCTTCCTTTGTAACTCCCGGAACTTCTTCGTAGTGGCTCCGCTCCATGCCTCATTTCATAAGGAAACTCAAAGAGGCTCTATGTCATTATATTCCATCCACATCCCAATTCAATTCATTGAATATCCCTTTGGTGTCATTGACATAAGAGATGTCATATATATATATATATATATATTTATCGGTTTGTATGAGGTCGAGACCCTAAACAATCAGTAAGAAGCACTTTCAAATTGTACCTAATATGTTGTTTCAATATCAAATTTCTTTGTGATGACCTGAAAATTTATTTTCATCTTTGATTGTAGAATTTAAAAATAGTATAGATCGAGCAGATCTATGAATACTTGAAAATCTTGAAAATTGACGGTCAAGATAATACATTACAATTTACACTATTTTCAAGACTTAAAATTTAATTTTTCTCATGTCCATACATCTCGAGGTCAATATGATCAGCTTGAGAGTATTGCACACTGAAACACCCTCTTCCAATAAATTCTTCATGTGCACCTTAATATGATTGTTAAGGGCCTCACCCTTATGTAACCTTTTTGACTTTGTTGAATGATGTATGTTATTGCTTAATAGTTAGATTTAGATGCATTAAGGATAACATTGATGCCACTCTGCTAGCATATACTCATGCTTTTGCGGGGATGTTGGGGTTCAAGTCCTAATGAACAATTTTTTATGATGGGCATGACCACATCTTCGGTGTGCATGTCTTATAACCGAGCTACTTGAAACTTGACGTGTAGCACATGTTTAGACCATGTTGGTGTGTGTTGACACATGTTTAAGTGTTAATACATGTTGTCAAGTAACATTAGAAAAAACACAAAGCACCAAGCTGTGTTGGACAAGGATAGATCGTACTAAGCACAATTTCTGAACTATAAGTTCTATAGTAAACATATCATTGAGCAAATAGTTCCTTTATGGTTCAACGATCCATGTTATTGCTATCAGTGTCAGAAAGCGAGACTCGGGCTGAGTAATCGGTCTTGGCCCGAGCCGATTACTTGGGCCGAGTTTGAGTAACTAGGCTCGATTAGTGCCTAGTATTGCAGTAGAAAAAAAAAAAAGTCAAAAAATAATAAAATATCAAAAAATAGGAAATGTATGTTTAATGTAAGATTAAGCAAAACACTTCAAAATGATATTAAAAAAATAGTAAATATTATTTTTATTTTTATTTTTAAAATCAACGATAGGGGGTATTTTGAAAATAATCTAAACAAGATGAAAAATGTAAAAACGAGTATTTATGGGTAAAACACTTTCCAATCTTTACCAAAATGATAAAGAACACAAAAAAAACATATATCGGATAAATTCATTATTTATTTATTAATTTTTATGATCTTTTTGAATTTCCCAAAGTTGGACAGCTAACTCTGCGAGGGCCTGAGCCCAAGTAACTCGGCCGAGGAGAAACTAATCGGCCGATTTTTCAATCACTGTTTGTTCTAGTTGATGAGATTGTAAGTCATAGGCCTAAAAAATAGTTGGTGATGGCATGTGGGATGGAATTTGAGGTCCAGTCGTGGTTCAATTGTGGATGCCGGGAAGTCTACCATTTGTCTTTAATAGCAACTTGCTTTTTCATAATTTTTCAATAGATATGTTTTAATGCATGTATTCATGATAAATATTGTGTCATGGACTCATGGACGGTGGATGTTGGGATCCATTTGTGTTCTGAATAGAGAATTGTGATTCCACCTCCCGTAATGCTCCTGAAATGCTAGTAGAACACACCTTAATAGCTGTACAGGAAAAAGTGATCCGTCCTTGGGTCCTGTTGCACTCATGGCTAGCTTATCCAAAGACCTACCATAACCCACGTGGTGCAAAGACGCAGATCCGGATCAGTAACTCCTAATTCTTGTTGTTTGTATCAAGGTTTGAAAATATATTTATATGGATAGGAATCGTTCGATCTGGATTGAAAATCATCATGAGTGTTCTGGATCTTGAAAATATATCGGGATCCAATTGTGTCCCCCTAGAAATGGCCGGTTCGAGCCAGTTTGTACCGGTTTTTTGCCAGGGAGCCGGAGTGAGAGCTGGATGGTTCCAAATGAACCGGATTTTTTCAATAAAAATGATGTGGCGACCGAACCTTATTGTGTAAGTTTTATGTGTCAGCACATTATCGCTTGTGGAACCCACCAACTCCAATTACAAATGCACCTATCATCACACTTACCTCATGGGCAATAGACTTTTATTGGTGACGTGGGGTTCCATACCTTCCATGATACTATTATCTCGCACAATTCTCTGATGTGGGATATTGTTTGTTAACCATTTCTCTCCAACCCCTACTTCAGAGTAAGACATTTTCCATTACACCTCTATATTTTCATCAACATCTCTCTCTCTGACTTTTACATTTCCATCAACATCTTTCTCTCTCTCTTTTGCTTATACAAGGGCAAAGTTCGTCTACAAAATCGTCTATATAATAGTTTTTTTAGACTAATAATATTCTTTCTTTTAATAGTTTACAAAATATAAAAATACTTTAGTTAAGTTTCAATTACATATAATTACAACTTTTTTTAAGATAAATAATTTACAAAAATTAGTATAATATTGAAATTATTATTGTTTATTTATCTTAATAGTTTAATATAATTACGTTAAACTTATATCATTATAATTATGTGATTATGATTGCATTAAAAATATGTTAATATTATTATGTTGAAAGAATATATTTAGGTGAAAATTGTTAACTTATTTACTATAATTATGTTAAAATTCTTATTGCTATATTGAAATTTCTATTGTTGTATATACATTAAAACATCACATAATTTGATGTAATAAATTGCCCCATTATTAATAAATTGTTATTGTTATATAGAATATGTTATTTTCATATTTAATATACATTGTAATTTTAAATTAATATATTTATAACCTGCTCATATATTAAAAAATAACTTATTTGTAATTTGCTTTAGTTATAATAACTTATTTTACAGAGTAATATAAATTTAATATAATTTTAAATCATATTAAGGTGTTATTGTTATATAAATTATATATCAAGTTGTTCAGACAATTCTAAGGCATACATGGAATAACTCGATATATTGTTGAGACAAGTCAATGAGTGGCATCAACACGATGAAGAGGAAGAACAACAACATGTTTCATTTGGTATCAGAATGTATTTTAATTATTGTATGGTCTATTGTAGACCATGTATTTATATCCATGTTGATTGTAAGCTCTTTTGTTTTTTTTAAGTGATGTGAATGTTCAACAAACTTCTAGACAAGGAAACAATGTCTAAATATTCATGAAATTTTAGAAAATAAATAAAATACATAATGCACCACCCTTATTTTTTTGAAACTCAAAAAGCAATATTTTTATGGATTTTTAGTGATTTTTTTAAAATTATTTCGAGACCAAAACCGGCCGATTCTCCAATCCGAATTGTTGATCCACCGATCCAATCTGGTTTGGAGTGACT